CACACACACACATATACATGTATATAATGACACAAAAAAAAATTAAAAAAAAAATAAAAATTTATATTTTCTTTTATATACTCGCGAGTATTTCGATAATAATCGATGAAAATTCATTGTAACAATAAATACCAATGTCTCCGTACGGATTCATCCAAGTTTAAAGTTACCTGTGACGCAGATTCCTTTCATCGAGGTCGACCTTAATCCACCCCCTTTCCTTCCTCCTTTAACCCTCTCCTACCCTTCAGTTGGTGTAGTCTATAATATACAACTTAACGAGTAGCTCGATTTGTCCAAATTGAGATCAAGAGGGTTGCTCGAGCACAAAAGGGTGAATTAGAAAAAAAAAAAAGAAAAAAAAGAGGGCCAGTGAGATACGGAAAGATTCCTAAATGGGATCAAAAGCCTTTTGGGTTCGATGACTTCGGAGGATAAAGTTTCGTACTATTGTGCAAGCTTTTAGAAAACCTTCTTCTTTTTTTTCCCCCCTTTATTTCTTTACAAAGTCTTTTATCCTTTGGCTTCTCTTTTACCCTCACGAGTTTTGCCTTACCATTTCTCATCTTCTTTCTCTCTTCCTTTATGGATGAAGGAACGAGGACACGTTTAAACGCATCTTTCGTGTAAACGATGCAAACCACGATGCAATAATAATGCCATTAAATGAAATTTCATGTGTGTGAATTTGTTTACCTTAATATTTTCAAACGCGTTACCTTTGATCGTGTAATTTTTCTTCAAATGAATTTTATATATTGCATATATACTTTGTTTAATAAGCACATATGCATATTATTTATATAACAATAAAACACCTACATTTAAGTGAAACACCTACATATAAATATAAGTGAAATAAATTTTATCTACACACTGTGTTTTCACAGCTTTCAATATTAGAAAATGACTGGTTGAGTATTAAAAACACGTAGGTGTTTCATTTAAGGAATTTTATCAAATATAACTGAATCTCTCATTAAATACTTATATAAATATATATAAAATATATAAATTATATATTATATAAATATGTATATATATATAGATAGATAGATTTATGTTTTATGTATATAGTACTATACTATTTATTTATATACTATATATAGTATTGTATATATAAATATATCTATAATATATAAATCAATATATAAATCTACCTATGTATATATAGTATATAAATATATATAATATATATAAGTATATATAATTATATATAAGTAATAAATATATATATATATATATATATATATATTTTTGTTATATAATATTTTTTTAATTTATATATATATATATATATATAATTATGTAAAATTGGTATTTATATTTATTTATGTAGAATTATACTAGTAATAGTTAAGGAGGGAAAAAGACAAAAATATAAAATATTGTCAAAAGAAGAACGATAGAAGAGTTTAAATAATTTTAGAATGAAAAACGTTTATTTGAAACATAAACTACGTTGACATAGATAATAATACAAAACATTCAGTCCTGTTTTAATTGATCATATCATTAAAATTTCATTCTTTCATATATAATACACCGATCATAGTGTGATCACATAGGTGTTATATAAATATATAACTCGTTATATTTAAATACACATACTTCGTCAAACATTCATTCTTGTAAACTTTCTTTGACTAATTTGTTGTATTATTTACATGAATGCTTTTTTCTTTTTTTTTTTATTTTTATCAATTCACATTATTATATTCTAATAATCGATTCACTTGTTAATCATACTGCCAATTAATTTACCCATATGTTCGTACAGGTATATTCGCACAGACACGCGGGGATATCTACAAGGCACTAGATGGGGTCGCACAAATTAAAAAGTTCAAATCTTTCTTTCAATTTCACATTTTTTGACTTGACAATCAATCGACAATTCTCTTTTATCTTTCCTTTCTTTGTTTTACACAATATTCTTTGTGTCATCGTGTCATCGTGTGTGTCATCATAGTGCCATGTCAATCGTTTGATTGCAAACACTTATGTTAGAAAAAAGATAATTATTATTTTCTTTTTTTTTTTTTTTTTTTTTTTTTTTTTTTTTTTTTTTTATATATTTTCGGACGGGAATAACGCAACTCACTCCGTGAAATTTGTATTCGTATTTTTACACGACAAAATACCACTTAGGATTTCCCTGTAATTTCATTAATTTCATTAATTATATTGTGGTTTATTTCTTTTAGAAATGTTCTTTTTTTTTTTTCAAATATTTTGAACCGAAAGATTAAAATAATTTATCCTTTTTTCTTTTTGTTTTGTTTATCTATCTTTGAGTTATGATATGTACTGATCGGATCATTGACAACGTTAAAAAAGAACCCTTAAAAACGTTTGTCAGTGAACTCGTTTTATCCTTTCCTTTCTCAGGATTAAGGAATATTTTTTTTCCTTTCCTTTTTGTTTTTTCTTTTTATTTTCCATTTATTTTAAATCAAAGAGATTTCGTCGTAATCGTCGTTCTTTCGTTCAAATAAAATGTGCAAAACGAATCTTCGTGCCTCGATCGACATTATTCGAGGAAGATAATACCTTTTTGATTTATTTAGAAGAAAAAAAAAATAATAATAATAATTAAATGAGAAATTCTCGATAGAGAAAATTTCATTTAAGTTCTCCTCTAACTTAATAAGAGAAGAAATGAATTAATTGAATTTTTGTTTTGAGTCGATCGTATTCAAATGTAATAAGTAACTCGTTTAAGTGACTCGTAACTCGTTTAATTTGATAATTTTCAAATTTGATAGTCATATACGCGTCGACGTAAATTGACATTTGACCGTTTCGCGATAAGACGCAAAAACTTGTTATGCGCCTTGTATTTGATGCGTAGTATCAGTTTTTTTTTACGTTCACAATTCCCCCCCCCCCTCTCAAACCATTTTAAATGGAAATATGCGTAATTTAGAAACGTCGATGCGTTTGAGACTTTTTTTTTTTTCATTATCTCCTTTTTACAATACACTCGAATAAAATCGTTTAATCCTTCGCGATCGTTGCGAAGAAAATTTGTTTTCCTGTATTTTCTTTTTCCTTTTTTTTTTTTTTCTTTTGCTTTTCCTTAGCGTCAATTTAATTATTATTACAATTGTCAAATGTTAAAATAGATAAAAATGATAATCTCATTTTAATATGAATTTGAATTCATTATTGAATCGCGAAGGATTAAACAAATTATACAAGAACCAATCGAGATAAATCGATTGATCGTTCGACTAAAATTTCGACTAAAAAGGTGTTTTCGTTGAATATGAAAACTAACGCGTGTTATATCGCTAGTCAAAAATGTTTTTAAGTCTTAGGAAAAATTCAACTACCTTTTTTTTCTTCAAATTGTCGACAATTTAAAATTCGATTTTGTTAAAAACGCTTTTGCGCTAATCGAATAATTTAATCGATCAAATTTTCTACGTAAGAATTAAGATCAAATATACGAGATAGTCTTACTTACAGACCTTGACTCCCGAATTGGTTTTTTTTTTTTTCTTTTTTTTTTTTCCAAATAATTTTACCGTTTATCATGATAGTGGCCTGAGTCAAAAAATTTCTATAAATTTACATATATATCTATATATATATATATGTAATTCGTTTCATTTAATTCCCACTGTCACAATTAACGGGAACAATTAATTCATTAATTTATATTTGAAAAATGATGCGTGTATACGTACTTAAATACGCATGTACAATATACATATATGTGTGTGTGTGTGTGTGTATGTAAACTAACGTTTGCATGTATGAATAAACAAGTAATTAAATCTGTCATTCTATCTTTCTCTCTCATAACGCATCTTGAGAATTAGTTTGAATCTGAATCGTAATCTCATCAAGCGATAATTATTTCGTCGTGTGAACACATGCGACTTCTAACAATAAAATATTCAAATGTGTTCTGTATTTTTAATAACTATTCAGTCGTCGGCACGGCTTTACCTTGCTTTAGGGTATCTCTCGTTTTTTCTTTTTATTCAAGAAATCTTTAATAATCGTAATAATATTGTAATATTTAACGATATATGAATGTCATTATCGTTTTGCGTATTCTCGTATAGAATATATTTCATTAAACCCTTTCGTTACTATCGACCCATTTAAAAGGTCGTCCCTTATTCCACGGTTAAATGAATTTACATGAAACGATAATCGTGTTCGAAGTTACGAAAGGGTTCATTTATTATTTGATATTGTGATAATAGGCTCTCTGGATACAATATAATATATATATATATATATAGTTTTATATATAATATACGAATTAATATGTAAGTGGAGAGATGTTTTAATAAGAACTTTGGCTTCATTGTATTTATGTGTGTGTGTGTGTGTATGTATGTGTATATTTTTTGTTTGTTCTCAAGAAAAACGAATCATTAGATTCGCGAAATTATTTGTAATAAATGATCCTATCGTTTAAAAGTTAATTATTTATACGTTGGTACGCTAAGTCACATGACATTAAAGGTCCTAAGAGATACCTCGTAAAAATGTGATGAAAAATTTGTTCTATTTATATTTGTGTGTTGGTATTTTTCAACTTTTTTTTTCTTTTCTTTTCTTTTCTTTTCTTTTTTTTTTCTTCTTACATTTACGTCTTATAATCGTACATTTTGAAAAAGTTACGATAAATTTTGAAAATGTTTTTTTCTTTCTCAACTCTAAAGTACCTTAGATTATATTATTTCATCGATTAGTAAGTTGTATTTCAAGAAACTCGAATTAATTCGATAGACCGTCGATATAATTTTGGTTTTATCTATATAATCTCGTATTAGAAATATTCTTCATTGAATAAAAGTATTCATATATTATCACATATACGTATACGATGTGTGTGCAGTATTTTCATGTAAAATACTTTCAAAATAAATTATGTAAAAACAATGTTATAATGCGCATTTATGGCAGTACATCGAACGGATGTACTTGTTACGAAAAAATTATTCGTCAAATCGAAGTGATTATATTATTAGGCTGATACATATATATATATATATATATATGTATACGAATATATACACGAATTGATCCCATTCGATGAACGCATTTCGTTTAATCTTCGAAAGCCGGAAAAGCCCACGAAGAAATAGCGAAAGTGAATGAATTGAAGAAACAAAAAACAAAAAAAGAACAAAATGAAATTTAAAATAAAATAATAATATCAGACGGATAAAATCAGACAGCTGTCGATGTCGATGATCAATCTTGTTGAAGATTCCAGTTTGTTGTTGTTGAAGAAGAAGAAGAAGAAGAAGAAGAAGAAGAAGAAGAAGAAGAAGAAGAAGAAGAAGAAAAAGATCTTTGAAGTTGTAGTAACGAATAGAGAAGACAGGAAACTTATCGATAGAGTCCTATCGAGTCTTGACAAGTGCAGGACATCATGAGTTGTTGGGTTGCATTTTTCGGGACTCTTTGTGTTGGTAAACCGGAAAGTCCTCTCACGTACGTATAAGATACCGGACTTCTGAGGATTCTTTTTGGACTTTTCTTGGCGTGTTTCTTCTTACTTTCTGATTTGGATGAAATTTTGAAAGTTTGGAAAGCACGTCTCAAAGTTTCGGCGGTCGATGGCCTTTTCAAACTGTCGCTGTCGCTGCTACTATGAGCATCAGATGGACTTGGCGAATAAGAAGATGATTCACCGCTACCACATTGATTACCCCTAACGTCATTAGGACTCCATGATCTTGATGATTTTGCACGAGTACGTTCGGTACTTCTTTGTATGTTTGTCAAACGTTCTTGAGATCTGGTTGATCTACCACGAAATCTGTCGGGATAACAATGATTTCTGGATGATCTGTTGACACGGCAAAGACGTTCCGCGCTACCACGACGTGACAATCTTTCAGCGCTACCACTGCTACCACCGCTGCTGCAACCACTGTCAGTGCTACACTCGTCGTCTATCAGCTCTAATCTGTGACCACTTTGATCACGTTGACGCGAAGACAACTGTTGTTGTTTCTGTTGTGATTGCGGCATTTGTTGGTAATCGTGATGATGATGATGATGATGATGGTGATGATGATGATGATGATGATGACGACGAAGTTCATTCGGATCGTTTAATCTGGTTGAATCTTCCATATCTCTGTGAATATTTATTCACCAAAATGTTTCAGGCAATTAATTGCCCCACTCGGTTACTTAAGAACCAAGTCGTATAAGATTTATCTTAATTTGATCCAGGTGATATTTAACGATCGATTCAATAGTTTTATTAAATTCGATCTATTTATGTATCGAAAGAAATCTTCTTTTTAAAAAGCTTCGTATTTGTTTCAATTGCAAACAACGAAACACTTTCCACTTGGAGAAAGATTTAACAACAACAAAGAAATATGTTCACCACTTCAAGCTAATCAAAGCTATTATTATTCGAAGTTAAAGAACTAACGTTGTTTTTATTTTGTTTGTCTTCTTTCAGTTTCTCGTGCTAATTTAATAGCAGTGGATCGGTGTCGTATCAAGTGAATACAAACTGCTGGCTCTTCCTCGAGAACGTCGAAGCTTTGTTTACGATTTCTAACTGAGCTTGTCGTGGCAGTCGCGCACCTTTATAGACCCCCCTAAGCGTTGTCATGTTATGCGCATGTCTGCCGCTCCACGTGAGGGTGTGAGCGATACTCCGATAATATAGAATAAATAGACGAGGACAGTGAGAGTGAGAAAAGGAGGGTTGTTTCGAAAGATGGGAGGGATAGGTGAATAAATCCTATCCCTCTTATCGAATACCTTTGAGATTTCCTCCCTCGACATTTTATTATTTTTAAATAATATTCAATGATATTGTAAGATTTCCTATTCAAAATATATACTTTTTTTTTGACGATGCTTTAACGACGTTAGCCTCTCACCGTATTTTTCCCAATCAGTCGATCGTAAAATTCACCTCAAATAAGAAAATGTCACAATGATTGTACCAACTCGCACCTCTTGTCAAACCCCCCCCCCTTTTTAAGGTTCACTTGATAAATCATTTCAAATATATTTTCTTCGAACTCTGACATTAGACAATTTTCGAGAGATGTTTTTAAAGAAGTTTATACACATTTTTCCCTAAATATTGAATTTTGTCTGGAAAGTTCGTGACAAATTTCAACGAACAACAAATAACAATGACGATATTTTATTATTATTATTATTATTATTCTTATTTATATTAATAAATTTTGATACTATATGTATATTCTAATATGTGACGTAATGTATTACCAAATCGATACAAATTATTATCATTCATTTTTTTTTTTATAATTTATATAATAATATAAATAAATTATATAAATAATATAATGAAATATAATAATATAAATACTACACTATAATAATAAATGATACGATTTATTGTCTAATAATTGAAAAAACATATAATAGTTTTAATTTAATATTAAATTTTTTGTTTATTCATATTTTCAATAGACAAGTAATTTATATACATACATATATATTGTATAGTAGGGAATGTAAAGGGATTAGAAAATGATTCAGAACGATTATTTGGACGTTCACATCGTTTCAGACTTTAAGATATAAATCAAAGCGTATTAGAGAGAGACGTTTAAGGTACGAGTATAAGAGACAAATATTAGGATGTCGATCAAGGTCGATTTAGGAAGATTAAATGGTCTCAACCTTTTGTTTTCTCTTTTCTCTTGAGATAAATAGATCCACACACAGGATATAAAATTACCAGAGTGGTCTATCAACGCATATACGTGTTTGTTAATATTAGTGTAAAATAATGTAACACGTTTCTATGAATTAATTAAATTATATTCATAAAGAAAAACTTTAATTATTAAAATATAATTTATTATTAGAATTTAGTTAATGATAAATTATTCCGTTTCTATAATACATTTTAATTAAAAGGATTCAGCACTCAAAGGGTTAAAAGGAAAATATTCTAGAAGAAGGCCATAAAATCTGAAATACATTCAAAGATTATCGAGAAACATGGTGCGACATGCGCCTTGGTGCATTGTTAGACCCCTTGAGTGGTTTTTGATTGCTACGTAAACATGAGAAAACACAAGGACAAAGGATATTCCTTATTCTTGACAAAGTTCATTTATGCATAATTTCCACTATGATCTTTACTAAAAACATAAACTGTTCTCATCGGTGGACTATGGGGGTGGACCATTCTAATATTGGCCAATAAGATTCATATATTTCCTTTTCTAGTGTCTATTATTATATATAGCTAATCAGTCAGTCTATCAGTCTGTCAATAAGTCAATCAGTCAGTCAGTCATATTGTTAGTTTGATTTTATAACTCATCTGTACTCTGTAATCTGCGCCCACATTACTTTTTGTAAATACAGTTCGACATAATATAATTAACACATTAAATAAACTATTATTATATTTTATATTTACAGTATCTATCCATTTGGTTTTTATATTATTTATTTTATTTTCATTTATTTCTCTCTGAATCCCACAATCTCTTGCAAAAATTCTAAAATACATTTATATCAAATATTTTCTTAAAATTAGCTACAAAAGTTTTTAAGAACAATCCGATATCATTATGAAACTTTTGTACCTTGGATTTATTTGTAATGTTTCAAAAAGTCCTACGAATTTTTTAACCAATACGGAAACGCAAATTTTTCTAATTTTACTCGTAACTTACGTAACGTTGATTATTAACGGTAGCAAAACTCTTTACAATTTTCTTTCCTTACTTTTCGTCATTTGTGAAACAGCTTTATAAGAAAGAAGTTTTTATTTTGTAGCGAATAACTTTGAAAGTTAAATATACTTACTTAACTTTTTCCGTAAAATTACGAAATGTAATTATACAAAATTTTTATTTAGATTCATGATAAAAATAGTATAAATCTTTTTCAACTTATTAACACATAAATAAATATTATTATATTTATAGACAAAATAATAATAATTATTATTATTATTATTATTATTAATATATATTATACATATATAATA